AGTAACGAAGTACAAATACTTCGTTACTGTACTTAAGTAGAAATTTTGGGTATCTATACTTTACTGGAGTATTTCTTTTTCAGACGACTTTTTACTTCTACTCCTTACATTTTCACGCAAATATCTGTACTTTCTACTCCTTACATTTTAATAACAAAGTAACTATAGCCTCGTTACTTCCGGCTTGTCGTAGTTCAAAAACACAAAGACAAAAAACCCATCTAGATAAATGTCGCTATGCGGACAGAGTGCTTGTGATTGTGGTTGGATGAGAAGTATAAACATTTAGCATCCAGACACCCGATTGGTTTTCTCCGCGATGCGCCGGCAGATCGGAGCGACACCGGGTGGGAAAAGTGGTCTTTGGAAAGTTGGTATTTAGCGACATGGAGCCTCCTCCTCTTCCTCACGCAGATTCCACGTAACGTTAAGTTACGTTGAGTATCTTCATGACCGTGGGTTTGTCCTAAATGTTTTATTGAGAGTCTGGCACAACACAGCGACTTGCAAGCAGCGTATTAAATAAAGTGATGTGTGTCTTAATGCGGCTTGAGAAATGAACACAAAGGGATTCTGTATTTGCTCTTGAAGCCTGAAAATACTGATAACCGGCCGCTGCCAGTTCAGTGTTTCCCATCATTATAAACAGGGGTGCGCCCCCCATGACGTAGTAAACCTGGGGGAGACACTGCAGTCTACCGAATCAATGCGAGCAATGTGTGTGTGATTCGTGTCACTGGGAAATGGGTTGTGGTTTTATCGGTTTAAGTTAATTAGATACATTTGTTGTTTTGTTGTTGTGTCTTTGAATATCGCCATGTTTCCACCATCCCAACGGCAGGTCACGTGATCTGCAGGCACCTTCTGATCACATGGTGACGGACTGACGTGTTGTGTGAGCGAGGTTACACATTAAGAGTTTGTCCTTAATGGAATTTCTTACATTACTTTTACTTTTATACTTTTAAGTAGTTTTGAAACCAGTACTTTTATACTTTTACTTAAGTAAAAAGCTTGAGTCGATACTTCAACTTCTACAGGAGTCTTTTTAAACCCTAATATCTGTACTTCTACTTGAGTAATGAATGTGAATACTTTTGACACCTCTGCATATCATTACATCCAGTGCTGTAGTGGTAAAATGGTGGGTAAGAGGTGGGTAAACTCTGAATTTTGTGATCATACAACGCGATGCGAAGCAACGCAACACAAAGCGTCGCGACTCTTGTAAGGCTGTCCTGGCTATATTGCAGAATTTTATCAGTAAAAGTCATATACAATCAATGACAATGAATACATGTGTTAGTAGTTTGTAGTTTATTAAATTTAAGAAAACAGTAAAGAAAAGTATGTCAACACAACAAGACAATTGCAGATTAAGAACTATCTACATACGGAGTCTCCTTTTCACAGTAGTGCCCAGAGGGGCTCCTTGTCCTCCACGTCAGGTCCTGCCTTGCACAGAGGAGCCATGAACCCCAGAACACGTGTTCTGGGGTTCATGGCTCCTCTGTGCTTCTCTCTCTATTGGACCTGGTGTTTCTCTCCCTGTGCTCTCTGCATCATTGCCTGTCCTCTCACTGCCTGAACAAATATGTTGAATTTAAGAGTTAACCAGTTAAGCAGCCTGTCAATTACACTGACAACATAAGTTAAAGGAACACTCATGTACTACCTATGTCATCAGAAATAGCCTATACAGCAGGGGTTTTTTAACATTGAGAACAGACTTGTTTTGTAATCTACGCGTCACCAGGCGTTTTTCTTGTCCTTTTACCGTGCACGACCAGCGAACACAGAACCCCGTCGGTCGTTCCGCCCGCAACGACGACTACACCCCTCCCCCCGTCGGACCTTCTCGACCGATCCGCGAAATATTGTCTGACATGAAACCGGTCCGTGAGGTAAGAAAGGTCGGGGACCACTGGGCTGATCCACAGCGTGTGTTTACACACCTCCTGGATCCTGATTGGTCGCTGCTGCAGCTGCAAGGCACTGATTGGATGCTCACAGACCGTAATACAGCGCAGATGAACATGATTCAGACTACGCCGTTTATATGTTCAACAATAGGAAACGTAGTCTTAGCTGTTTTAAAATTACACCAAGTTTATTTCGGATTATTCCAACGGAAGAATACAAGGCGCAGGGAACTTTGAGGTGCGTAAACGCTATTTATAGGTGCATAGACGCTATTTATAGGTCCGTAAACGCTATTTCCAAAATTCCAGAGGTGCGTAAACGGCGTTTACGTGCGTTTACCCTCCACTACAGCCCTGATTACATCCCCCTGGATATACATTTTTATATTCATGAACAAGCTATTCTTTTTAACACCTTAAATCTGTAACTTTCACATATCATTACAAGCACCACCGTAGAGATCGTATGGGAATGATGTCCCCGACTAAGGAGAGCCAAGATGAGCCTCCAACATTATCATCAGGGGCCGCTTATAGGTCCAGGCTGCCCAGGATAATGGCAACAAGGATTCTCGGCAGGAAAAGTTTGAGCCCTGTATGCAGTTATCCTCATTTCCTGTCCTGATAGTTTATAGGAAAAGGCTATGCTTCAAAGTAACAATAGTAAACACGAAAGTTTATCAAACCTAACATTCATTCCTCGTCCGCCTGTCCACATAAATGGGGAAAATAAAGCTTTAAACACATTAAACTCTGATGAAAGAATGTTTATTAATAGTAATCATGGTAGTAATAACTGCAATAATAACAATTGGGATATTAATCATGTAAAAATAATGTAATGAATAGTATCGTTTAGTTGGAGCACATTGGAAGCAGAAAAGTTGTGTTTATTAGTTTTCCTTTTTTTCTCTTAACTCTACATATACGTTACCATTCAGTTGGACACACTTTCTCATTGAATTGAAGAAAATGTGTCCGATCTTTTAAATGGTACTATAAATATATATATTAGTGCCGGGCAGAGATTTCAATTTTTATTCGCAGTCAATTGCATAATTGACTGTATCCCCTGTATTCCCTTTACACTGTAGCAGTTCAAATATATCTTGTAAATCTCAATCGAAAAAGGAATTCAATCAAATCAAATATAAAAATCTGCCACTGCCAGCGCATTACCCTTTGATCTAGTCTGTTATAGCAAAACAGGTTACATTATAACTGGCACCTTCCCATCAACAGTGAACAAATAACTTGGTTCTATCAGCTGCACCTTCTTCACGTTTAAAATGAGAAGAGGTTGGTACCTTCTTCCAGTTCTGTTCTCTTTGGGTACCTGTGAGCGATAAGAGCAGTGTTGCTGTGTTCACACCAAACGCCCTTTTTTCCCCTCTGCCATCAACAATGAAAGATATAACAACTATGTACTTGTTGGGGAGATTTTACTAACGTCAGACCACCAAATGCTCTCGTCCCATGTGGGTACAACATCCGTAGGGGCAGACAGTTTGGTGAATTTCACCGACTTCAACAGGAACTGCGTCTAGGTGATTGCTGCTTCCAGTGGTACATAATGCTAGCCGTTAGCTCGTTTGATGGCTCTTTGTCTCGGATCGGTGACTGCTGAGGAAACTGTCCTATGGCAACACACCGTGTAATGCTCAGGCGCATCCAAATGGCTCTTTTAAGAGCTAGACACGTTATTATTGAGCAAATGTCCTGCAATATTAGAAAAGAGAGAAAGTATCCTTCATTGATCCCCTTGGGGAAACTGTTCTCTGCATTTGACCCGTCCCACACAGTGAGAGCAGTGTGCTGCCAGTAAAGGCGCCCGGGGAGCAGTTAGAGGTTAGGTGTCTTGCTCAAGGACACTTTGAATCAGGACATGGAGCAGCCGAGGCTCGAACCACCAACCTTTCAGTTACCAGCGCACCTTCTCTACTCCACGCGCCATGGTCGCCCCAATTAATGTTTAGTAGCAGTGTGTCCTATGTGTGTGTTCACTGCAGTGTTGGGATGTTGTAAAAAAGGCACATATGGTTGTATCCCGTTTGTTAAGTTTTCTTTTAAAACTCCAATAAACATGGACGAAGTAACATTTATTAAAATGACATCCTTCATTTTTTCTGATTTGGCAACTGCGCAGGACGTCAGTGACGGGTGGGAGGATCTCAACGCTGATAGGCTATCGCGCCGCAGCGTCACGCCATTATGTTGTCTGAACTCATGAGGTCGGTTGACGCGCCTCTCCAGTCTAATCGCGTCTGTGCATAGATTGGATATGAAATCCTGTGGCGAGAATAATTCACGTCACGTTTGGTGTGGACTCAGCATTAAATGCCCCAATTTGTTGAGATGTTCGATGATGCCCCTCCCAAACCAACACTGATCAACATTACAACCTCTGATGAGTTTGTATGGGTGTTCACAAGTTTAATAAATGCGTTAACCAATAATCCACCAATAATTGTTGGCATTAAGGAATAACTGTAAATAAATAACGTGCCCAGCACTAATATACATATAACTATATGTGTGTGTGTATATATATATATATGTGTGTGTGTGTGTGTGTGTGTGTGTGTGTGTGTGTGTGTGTGTGTGTGTGTGTATGTATGTATGTGTGTATATATATATATATATATACGTATGTATGTATGTGTGTATATATATATATATATATACGTATGTATGTATGTATGTATACATATATATATATATATATATATATATATATATTGTTTATGTGTTCGCAGAGAAAAGGAAAGTCTCGATTGAACAGGTTAAGTGAAGCTACAGTCACACACACGGAGTCTCTTTGTAATTTACAGTAATACAAGGTTCTGCAGTTGACAGAGGGAATGGGAGGATCCTTACATACTTGTAAGTAAGTAATACAAAAGCATATTGAAGCCTCAAACAGAATGGAAAGATGTGTTGTTGTATCGTACTCACATGTTACCATTTAAACCTTTGTGCTTTGGGGATCTGCATAGGACAGAGAGGCTGTCAGGGTACAGGGGGTGATGTGGATTTGTAAAGTATACTTATAGCAAAACAAAGGAAGACTAAACCACATACATTTTCAGCAAGCTGTGTTTTTTAGTTAACACACTTCTTATTTAAGTTGGAAATCCTTGTTGAAACCTTGCAAAAACATAAGAAACCACACACCACAAGTCAAACCACATAGCAAGGTGGTGAGTCAATCTATAGTCAACTGCACGGGTGAAGATATATACATTTAGAGTGTGTGATATATTTTTTCTATCTTTTAAGTTGTGCAATTGGGGACAACCAAAGCAGTTTAATGTACCCTGATACTGATTTCTTTTTGTGGTACAATGACATGAAGTACGACCTGCTCCACATAGGATTTCAAACATTCACCAACACTTTTGAAGTGGATTGAATAGTTGTAAGATAAGATAAGATCATTTCTATGATGCTTCTGACCACTGCGGATAAATACACAGTTTGGGCTGAAGTGGAAGAAACGTGTTTAATTTGAGCAGAACATGTGTCTCTCCAGAAGGTACACTGTGGCCTGTATGGTGGAGGTCAGTGGGTTACATGGGGAGGTAGGTGTGGTTTTGGCTCATGGATGGTAGATTGGGTCTAGCTGGGTTACACTGGGGGGGTTGGCAACGATGCCTGGAGGTTTCAGGGAATAATAGTTCCTTTTGGGCTTGCATCCGAGGTCTGCACAATAGAAAGGAACAGGGGGATTTTCACTGACCCACATGTGTTTAGGTAGGAAGCACAAGGATTTGTCATATAGATGTGTACTGTAAAGCAGGTGAAGGGAGGGAACAGGGACGGAAGGACAAAGGGACCAAGATAAAGGACGACATGCTTGCTTCATCAGAAGGCTTTTCTTAGGATTTGAGTAATCAGACATATCTGAATAAAAGCTGATTCACGCCAAATATTTTTTAAACCTCTCCAACCACTAATGATGGACAGACGCCTTTACAGCACATGTAAACATGAAGGAAGTCTTCAACGGAAAAACAAAAAGAACAGAAAAGTGCGGAAGAACATGGCAGAGATTGGAGGATACATGGATCTCTTGACATCGTTAGTTGTTTTTCATGAGATTGTTTTCTGTAAAAGTCCCAGTAGGTTCCTCTTCTGTCTTTGTGTCTTTACTTCATCATCCCACTGAAAAAGCTGAATGCTGAGTGATAGTTGTGGACAGGCATTAAAAAGGCCGTCCACTGGACACAACCACTCAGACTGACCTTCAAGTTGATTCAGAGCACGCTGGCACCGGCACGTCACATGACTTAGAGAAAGGAATGCAGCTGCATGGGGGGTCTTTGCTCATAGGGGGAGTTGAACTGGAGAGGACGAAGGCCACCTACCCGGGGGCACCTCAGGTCACTCCACTTTCATCATTACACACTGTGCTCTACAGGAAGTGGACAAAATAACAGAATCACAAAATAAATGAGCTCATTCAACATCAGATCCGTAAGTTGTTTGTCAGCTTTAAAAGAAAAGCAGTTTTTCAACGAAATCCACACCTAAAAATATCTAATCACATGTACATAATGCATAGTACACTAAGAACGATCAGGTTTAATCTGTAGAAAACAAACGCACCCTGAGATGAGGACATTTTTCTGTGTAATAATGACGCGGATCGCCTCATGTGGGTCCACCAGTCCACCACTAAAGGCCTCAAACTGTTGTTGTAGCCGTTCTGCCACACGGCACAAACAGTAAGGGACCAAAACCAGGTGGATTTTTTCGAGCTGTTGGTGATGCAATCACTAACATTTATGAAACGGCTGCAGGGCGTCAAACTTTAATAACCCTTTAAGCCCGACAGAGGCAGTAAAGACCAGATCTTTACTTGCCGTTCTCAATAAAAGCTCAAGATATTTGATATTTGCAGGGTAATTCATAATTTAGTTACGCACACACATGTATAAAGGGGCAGATTAAATTTGCTATATATTCATTAAAGTAATAAATAATGATAAAAATGTCCCCATTTTTCCAGATCATTCTTTTATCATTGTTGCTAATAATCAAAGTAGTATGAACCCATTTAGACTCAACTCGGTGTCCACATCATGATGTACCAAGTGAAGTATCTGCTATTTTGTCCACCCCATGAACCTCAAAGGAGACCTTTCGTCCTCCGTCTCACACAGGAGGCAAAAGTCCGTCTCTTTGTTCTTATCAAATGTGATGATACACATTTCTGTCTCTCCCGCTGGATGCAGGATATTGGTGTTCCTTTTAAATACTTCCCTCATCTCTGCCTTTTTCCTTCACTCTCTCTCATTTTGGGACCACGGCGCTGCACCCTATCTGGGTCCTGCATGTTATCAGAAACATTTTGCTATATCATTTACACATTTTACACATTTTACAGAGCGCTGTGTGTTTTTCTTTTGAAGTATAAATGAAACAACAACATCTACCTAAAAGGTTTTAGAGTTTTTGAAGATACATTCAGTAGCTGAATAAAGGAAAGGAAACGTCACACAAGTAGAAACCTCATCATACATCGACAGTGCATTGAATCCTGCTTGGAAGTTGAAAATCAAAGGCAAACTTATGTCCAAGAGTTGCAGATCACAAATAGATATATCTATATTCATATATAAAGTTTTTTTCTCCTTACTGGTAATACAATAAATACGACATTAGTAAACGGCTACAAGTGACTCTCCCACCAAGCCTGACTGTTATTAGTACAACGTTTAAATATAGAAGGATTTCATTAAAGCAGAGATCCATTTAAATAGAAAGAGACTCTTAGTAAAACGTTTGTTTGATCGTGACACTTTTTTTGACTTCATATAAGCCGCCCAACCCGCCCCCACCCAGCGTCCCTTCTCGCCGGGGGGAGCTGACGAGTGGGGGGGAGACTTTATCTCGGCTTCCTGTGCCATCGGCCCCGCCCGTCCCGACCGAGCAGTTCACTCCACACCAGCACCACGACACTTTAGTGGCGATGGGGGGGGCAGCGAGGCCTCGAGCAGACCGTCTGAGCGTTCTCCAGGATCTTCTTCGCACAGACGCATTTGTCCTTCTTGTTTTTTTGGAATCTACAAAATGCGAAGTGCTCAACAGAACGAGTAACAACTAGATTACTGCATTTATTATGTGCAGACCACCCCCACCCCCCAACACAGTAACACGCCCCCACCCACCACAACCCCGCTCCATCTAGCAGAGGGTGAGGGAGGAGGTAATCGGGGGGGGGCGAGGCCAGCATCTCCTCAGCTACACTGGAAAGACACAAATATGCTCTTTTTTTAACATACTTACTGTTACACACATAATATAATATGTATATACATACATTATGTTTGCTCCTTTTGGAAATCATAAACTTAAAAAAGTTTACAAAAATAAAATGTTTTATGGTGACTTCTGTAGTTGGTCTCCTCCAATCGTCCAGGGTGGGCGCCCCCCCCCCCCAGGACCACCGGCTGTGGCCTCGGAGCGTCCGTCTTCACTGCCGTTCTTGATAGAAGGGCTCCTTTACAAATAGGATCTTTTTGTTTTAGCTGATCTTTTTTTAGCTGTGTCCGTGTAGTTCTTCTCTTTTTTTAGTTGGTGGCCGTCTGTAATCATCCCTCTAGTCTTTTATTTACTACAAAAGAGAAAAAAGCAGGTCAGTGTAAACCGGACATTTGTAAAACAACACTAATCATTTTACATGAAGCTGCTCCAGTCAGATATTCGCTGAGTGACCCTCATGACCTCGGGAACAACCGGACAAAGGTCAGCGAGCGGCAGGCTGGGGTAAATCTGCTTAATGAAAGCCTCTCACCAAGGAAGGCCGCTGCCATTTAAGGGGAAATCAGCACCTTTTTACTAGTGAGATGAATATGAACGTGTTTGTCCACGCTTGGTTACGGTTAGGGACTGACGGAGAGGAGCAGGGAAAGAGACATGGAGGCAGGATGAAATCGGTCTCTCTGAACCAGGTCCTGATGACGACCATTTGACCAACACGTGCAGGTAAACGCAGAAGCTGCCGTGTGTCGCTGCGTGTGACGGGCCTTCACTCAGACACCAGAGGACCATGGAGCGTTTCCACGGGCAGCAGTGGATGAATTCATTAGCTGGTGTAGCTCTCTGTTTGTAAATGACTCCATTGATAATCCAGGTTCTGATTGGTTGATGTTCTAAGGCAGCGGCTCTTAAATCCCCTTAACAAAAGAACATATAAAGAAGCAGAGCCCATTTATAGCTGCATGGCTCACGCTGGGTTTCTTTACAACATTTAGCCTCGTGTTTAATGTAGCAGCGTGAACACAAACGAAACTGCAATATTGTGTCATATTAATCCCGACTCGGAACAAACAACAAACACAGGTGTGAAAACAACGTTTCAGTAAATTCCAGTTTCATTTTGAAACAGCAATAAGGCGGCGAGGACACATCCACAGGCTCAGTGGCACATTGCATCACATTTAATTAACCATACATAGCGCTTACATTCTTAACAATTAGAAAAGTTACACATCACGACCATCAGAGGAATCTGAAAAGATTCAAACACATTATTCCACGCAAACAACAAATAGTGGCACAAGTCTGAGAAACAGACATGAGGAGACACGTGAGTATTAATTCCTCCGTCTCTCTCATGACTGACAGCTTCCGATGTCCAGTGACAGTTTCCCTGACTGAGTTTAGCATGTTTGTATGAAGTAGCTGTTAGCTGCACAGATCAGGCTAACATTAGCTAGTGTCTACGTAAAAGGAGGAGCTGAAGCGTATTTATTTATTAAAGATAAAAATAAGTTCAGTTGTAATCTTACAAAGGGCATTTTTATAATTCATGTTTCTTTTTGTGTAATAACCCACTTTTATTTCATATTTCATATTAATGATTAACCGGCGGCCTACTGGTTTTAACCATAGAGGCCTCCGCACCACACAAATCCTGGTTCTAAAGAATACAGATTCACATCAAAAGTCAGACTTCTTTATCTTAAATACTATAATATAATCTGTGCTGCAGTTTAAAGGGGGACACATAAAGAAAAGACTCATCTTCTCATGAATTTAAGAGACATTTAGTTGCCTTGTCCTGGTTATGATTAAGAAAAAAATAAAACTAAGAAATATCCTGTATTTATATGTCTTCACACATAAAGGCACCGAGAATCTCTTATTGTCTACGAGATCAAAGAGAAGCCATCAAACCCACTTTATCACTTATTTTACATTAATTCACTTTTAAAATCAAAATGAAGAGTACTTGTAGGAGCTGCATTTAAGTTTATTTCCACATATTTAAATAACAATTTTTTGTTTTTATTTGTGTTAAAAGCGAAGTATGCCCCATAGGTGAGCTGGGTGCTCCTATATATATTATATATATTAATTCCTGCATTTTATTTCACTTTATTGTATGAAATGTTATGATGTGAAGCACTTTGAGTCGGCCTTGTGTATGAAAAGCGCTACACAAATAAAATTGCCTTGCCTTGCCTATAAGTTGGTGTGCATGGCGCATAGAATCGGGTTATGGCTCATTCCTGTGACTGCGCCTGATGGTGATTGGCACCATCAGACATCCAAACTTATTCCTCGCTACGACTCGTCATAGAGGAACCTATGGTTTTACCATGAATTATTATTCTCTAAGGAATTTTGCCTTTTTGTGGACTATCATATTCAAAACGTTGTTAAATTTGACATGCATATTAGGACTGGTGAAAAATGTGATCATATTGGGGTCTCGCATTTGGGTACACAGAAATGTCTCTATACCTAGAAATGTGAAAAGTACCAAAGCAGGCCAGTTCCCCCCGATGCCGGATTGACTGGAAATTTGGCACACAAGTGGTCTTGGGTATGCTCTACAAAAAAGTCAATCATGGTATGCAAATGCACCGAACTAGATTTTTTGCTCATTTCTCCTGAATGCTGTCGGACACAGTGTTCAGGAGAAATGAGCAAAAATGTTGTCACGACCATTTCTGTGGATCATTATTGGTTTAATGTCCCTCTGAATCATAAAGATCGTGCTGATATCTTATAGATTTGAGAATATGGGCTAATGAACTTTGCAAGCCATGTGGCTTAATCTGGCGAGACCTAGAACTTGACTTGGCCTGCCATCACCAAAATTTGAAGACTAGGGGGCGCTGCAGTTAATCAATGAAAGCCTTTTAAGGATTTTTCAGAGTTGTAAATAAGTTGTAAAGACCGAACCCGATTCTTTTCAAATGTGGCCAGTGTGATCTTGAAACTGGTTTCATTTTTCCAGAAAAAATGTTGAACTATGTGCGCGCAGAGCATCGGCAAAAAACACCATACTTTATCTAATCTGCTCCATATTTCTCATATGTTATGAACTCCTTACCCTGTAGCCATCCATACGGTCATTTTTAACCTTAGCCATAGCGCCACCTGGTGACAACAGGAAGTTGAATGTCTTTTACGTTACACCCTGCTCCTCACAGGTCAATCTTATCCCTCTCAAAAGTTGGTAGCAGAGACTTAAGACCTTTTGCCAACAAAAAAAAGACACTTTTGCCAATTCCTCCTAAACGCTGATTCCGATATTTACAAAATGTTCTGTGTATAATTATTTCAATGTGATCAGAAATCCTATAAAGCTTGTTGATACAGCGATATGGAACAGTGAACTACACACAAGCAGTGTGGCTAACTTCAAAATGACTTGGCCTGCATTGTAGCCTATTTTCAGCGTTTTTTGGAGTTGTAAAAGACTGAACTCCTCTCAGAGATTAATTCTGATTCTTTTCAAATTTGGCCAGTGTGATCATGAGACCTTTGTTTTGAAAATTGCAAAAGAAATAAATATTAATATATTGTCAGCGTGGTGCTTTGGCAAAATACCACAAGTGGTTTTAACTTGGCCATGAATGATCTGATCTGCTCCACATGTTTCATGTGTCATGACATCCGTAACCTGTTCCTCGCAAATGAATCAGATCCCTCTCAAATGTTGACAGAAAAGGCCTAAAACAACGTTTTTCAGGCCAAGGACCCCCAACGCGATCTGACTGGCTAGTGCTGTGGTATTTGCATGAAAGGTGCTGTGAGGGAACCGGTGCCCAGCTTGAGAGATGAATGTGTGCATTGCTGAAAGATAACGTCCTTATCCGTTTGCTACAATATGTTGGGTTCATGTTAATGTGTATTTAAAGACAATAAATTCAATTCTGATTCTGAAGACGTTTCAATTTGTTGAAAAAAACACATAAAAACACATTTTTAATAAAAATAAAAAAATCTTATCAACCCAAAATGTTGCGACCCCCCTACAGTGCCTCCGCAGACCTGGGGGTCATGGAGCCCCTGTTGAAGACCTCTGGCCTAAGACCATAATTATGCTAAAGATAAAGTTGCAAAGCCGACGGACTCGTGGACGCTTTGTCTGGCGGCTGCAGGCGTTCTCTGCCGTGTTCATAGCCGTCTGCCCAGCGACCATCGCTGCTTTCTGTTTGGAGGCACCGCTCCCTGCGAGGTTACAACCAATAGGGGCAAAAGGAACACGTTTTAGCCATAACACTAGTTATGTTTTATAGCTGCCTTGTCATGGTTTTATTCACATTTCCCTTCACTACATATAGCCTGTTGTTTTTGGTATCTTTCCACACTACCTTTGGTATCCTTCCATTTCTTTTCATGGAAGTTCTAATGACTTACATTATTATTATATTATGTATTCATTATTCATTTCATGCCAGTGCTGCAGTGATCAGACAGATTGTTGAAGACATTAATCACACAACTTCAGTCCTCCAAAAAGTATTAATGTTGAGGCCTTGCAGGATCAAGTGAGCATCACTGTCACTGGTGATGTCTGCACAAAATGATTCCTATTTCTTTACACTGAGCAGTAGAGTACATTACACTCAGTGGGGAGGACACAGAGGAGCGGGGGAGAGAGTGAGGCTGTCCTGGGAGGCTCTCGTCTTGACAGAACCTCTTTAATTCTCAGAGACGAGTTGTTGAGGCGAATGAAGGAGATGTGTGTGATGGAGGGTCGGGGGGAGAAAAGAAGAAGCCGACGTAACTTTGTAGTTTTGGGGTCCCATCACAGCCAATAACGGCGCCCTCTCGTCTCAGGCTCCGTCCTCAGGTGCATTTATATAGCGGGGCGGCTGCAGAAGTGGAGCCACACAGGGGGAAGGTGAGAAGGGGGAAGCGAGGAGGAACGTTTGGGGGCTGAGGTCCACAGAGGAGAGCCTCACTGAGAGCTGACCAACATACTAATCACTTTGGGCAAATACCTCCCTCAGACAAGCTCCCCTGTGCCCTCCCCTCAAGCTCCACAACGATCCCTGCAGGCTTCCCCTCCCACGCCTCTCCGTGGTTGAAGTGTGCACTTGTGTGCAGCTGCCACTCATCACAGAAGGTGAGGCTGATCATCAGGGCCCGGTTTTTCAAAAGTAATCCACAGGATTTTGGATAACGGATTGGATCAAATCTTGAAAATGGATTTTTCAAAAGAAAAAACGGATTACATAATCGGATTAGATCACGTAATGCAGTCTTGGTTTAGATCTGGATCAAACCTTTAGTTTGGGTTTTTCAGAACTTTTTTGTAGGATTTGGATCACTTTGATCCAAATAATCTGGATTAAATTGATCCCATCAGAA